AGAAGGGAGAGTGTTGACATGTAGTGAGGTTGTTAACCAATGTCATAAAACAATATGTGTACTGACTGTTTAATGAGAAACTATTTGTTCTGTATACCTTCACCTAAAGTAAAATAAAAAAAATTTTTTTAATAAAAAACAGAAATTCTGATCTGAGCTGTTTAAAAAAAATAATGAATTGTCCATTTCATGTTAATTGAAAATATATGAATGGACGCTTCAAAATATATTTTAATTTATATATAACATACTTGCTCTTTTGGACATTTTTTTCCCCCTGAGATTGTCACCTCATTTTCTTAGTATACACTCTCTTCTTTTTTAGCACAAAGACCATGTTTAACTCATGTACTATTTAAATTACAATAAATCTTTAAGTAATGGCTTCCAAATTAATGAGAATTCACTCCAGCTCTTGAAAAAGATTTGCCAAAGGCTTGCTTGCTATGCCTACCGACGTATGAAAAACAAGTAAAAGAGAAGACCAATCACAGAAGCCGGAGTTCCAACTTTTATTTCTGTCACTCACTGGGTTTCTTTTTTATTGTTTTCAGTAGTTTTCTGGTAAACCATGAGGTGCCAGTGTCTGTATCTTGATAAATTGTAATATACCTCTCACAGTTTTCTCCTTTTCATACCCCATTTTCCTCTTCACTTTGCCATATGAACTTATTCCTGTTAGTTATTTCCATCAAGATGGTAACATTAATGAAACTTAACAAAAGTAATACACTTCGTAACATTATGTCAGTAATAGATAACATATCCTTGTGCATATGAACAATGCAGATTTAGTCTTACGCACTCATAACAGCTAAGTGCTTTTAGTCATTTCAATTAAAATTTAATCAATACTTGAGTTCAGTTCAGTTGAAGTCAATTCAACTAATGCTTCCTAAGCTCAGTACCCAGTATCCAAAAAGTTACTAAATGATAGAAACTAAGAAACCCAGCAATAAATAAACATGTGTAATGTTGAAAGTACACTAACAAGAAGCTCATAAAGGAGACAAGAAAAAAACACATGTGGCACAATTCAGATATAGGACAAGACTACAAAAAAGCACTTACGTGTACAAAAAATTAAACTAAATTTGTAGTGAATTAGAATAGGAAGAGAATTGTTATTGCTTTCACTTTAAAGGCATTGCTAAAGTGAGTTAAAAATATTTTGCCCAAAATAATTGCAAGATTTAGTGACAAACTTCAGAGTGGAGTCCATTTCTACCTTATTCCCTATTTCCACATTACTTAATTCCATATTAATAAATTTAGGATTATAATTTTCTTTAGAAATTATTAATGTACTATTATGGGAATTTATTTTATTGTGACTTAGGAGATAATTTACAGAGCAAATTAGTTTCTTATTGAACAGTTAATACACAAATTGTTTTGTGACATTGGTTGCCAACCTTACGATGTGTCAACAGTCTCCCCTTCTTGACCCTGGATTCCCTGTTTCCATTTGTCCAGTTTCCTGTCCCTTCCTGCCTTCTTTGCTTTTGGGCTGGAGTGCCCATTAGTCTCATATACATGATTGAACTGTAAAGCACGTCCCTCACGTGTGTTATTGTTGGGCCTATAGACCTGTCTAATCTTTGCCTGAAGGGTGAACCTCAGGAGTGACTTCAGTACTGAGTTAAAAGGGTATCCGGGATCATTATGGGAATTTTGTCCCTAAAATTTTTATAAATGATTAAAAGGTATTTGTTTATATGTCAACAGAGTCTTAATGTAATTGATAACATTAGGAAATTATAATATGTTCCATTTGTTCTACATATATTTTCTCTGAAAACATTATAGTTAATTTAACTTAATTTTATAAAGAAATTATTTCTAAAAATGGCTTAGAAGAAAATAAACTCTGTACACATTTAGGAGATCCAAACTTTAGTCAGAGTACTGTACCCTAGAACTATTAACATTAAGGTATTATGTTACATAGGAGTCCCTGGGTAGCACAAACTATTAAGTGCTAAGCTACTAACCAAAGGTTGGTGGTTTGAACTCACATAGAGGCACCTCAGAAGAAAGGCCTGGTGATCCACTTCCTAAAGGTCACAGCCATGAAAACCCTGTGGAGCAGTTCTACTCTGACACACATGGGGTCACCATGAGTCGGAATCGGCTCAACAGTAACTGGTTCGGTTTTGGTTTAATACCTTACGTGAAATTTATTATGATGATGTTTGGCAGTAAATTATTTCACAAAGCTTTATGCTTATTTGTTACTGAGTAGGCTTCATTTTCACTGCTCCCATTGTCCTACACACAGCATCTAGAATTATCTTCCTCATAGATCATTTGTCCTCCCAATCCTTGTTTATTACGTTAGCCATCTAATGTATACCTCCTCATCAAAACTCTCTACTAACATTACTCACTGACACTACTCCACACAATCTAATCAACCATCTGGATCATACATCTGGTGCAGTAATCTCACACATGGAAGGAATTCTAAAGTGAACTATCCTCTCTCCCCCTCACTCTAAAAATCTATGTCTACCTTTTCCTTTAAATATTAACTCCCAGTTCACTGTCTTCAGAAAATTACCATTTAATAATTTAATAAAACTACTTTTTAAAAAATTCTTAGGCCCCCGTACCACTTTGATTCCTGCCATTTATCATTAATTTGCTTTCTCTTGAATGTGAGAGGTCCTGTAGTTGTGTGGTGTGCCAAGGGCCTTTCTACGGAAAATAGCGCCTATGGCAATTAGATTTAAATTGCTGAATGAACTCTCACATCTGGCAATGGAAACTGTGATGGCTAATAGAAACTGTTCATTAGCGCCCCTCCTCAAGCACGCCCAGGTCACTGCCCTACCTGCCATACCTTAACCCTGTGGCTGCATGCCTACAGAAGCTCCATCCTCACCACAAAGTCTCAAGGCATTTGACACCCCAGTTGATTGAGACCCACTTTCTTCCAGATATTTTTACTAGTTGAACTCCACCTGCCCTCCAAACACTTAGGGAGACCTCCACTTCCATCCCTTTCCAATATTCTCTTTCCCTGCTTTTCTAAATTCTTAAGATTTCACACGAGGATATACAAGAATTCACTGCTTAGGCAGCTGTTCATGTGCATGGATTTGACTTTATAGCTGGTCTGTGAGCTTCCTTGTGTAGGGGTGGCGTTTTCTCCTTTGATGTTCTTTATTCGATGTTAGCAAGCTCACTTACAGTAAGCACTCAGTAAATGTAACAATAATTGTTTTTAGGAATTCCTATATTTGCATGTGTGCTGTTGAATAAAAATGTTTTCAGTCTTTCTCATTAAGTCATAGCAAAAACAGGATTTCAGCACCATAGGGTTTCCAAGGAGCAGCTGGTGGATTTGAACCACCAACCATTCAGTTAGCAGCCTAGCACTTTAACCACTGTGCCACCAGGACTCCATTTCAAATATTGCTCTTAAAAACTATCTTCTTTCAAGACATTCAGGCGATGCTTGGCTACCACCAATGCCCGCCCTGACAGGGAACACAAGACAGACCCTAACAGAGCAGGAGAAAAGTGGGGTGCAGAATTCAAATTCTAGTAAAAAGACCAGACTGACACTGGAGAGACTCCGGAAGACATGGCCCCGGCACTCTCTGTTGGCCCAGAACTGAAACCATTCCTGAAGCCAACTCTTCAGATATAGATTAGACTGGACTATAAAACATATGATACTCGTAAAGAGAGTGCTGTTTAGCTCAAGTAGATACATGAGACTAAATGGGCAGCTTCTGTCCGGAGGTGAGATGAGAAGGCAGAGAGGGTTAGGTGCTGGTTGAATGAACATGGGAAATCTGGGATGGAAAGGAGGAGTGTGCTGTCACAGTATAGAGAAAGCAACTAGGGTCACATAACAAAGTGTGTATAAATTTTTATATGAGAAACTAACTTGAACTGTAAACTTTCACTTAAAGCACAATAAAAAAAATAAGAAAAAATGGGAGTGGTGGTCATATGGTTGACATTTACTTTGCATTATTTCCATTGTTTCTCATTTTGCATTAAGATCGTTGCATATCATGTATTAGAGTTGTACGTAAAATTTCTGTTTTAAACCTCTGTCCTAACAAAAGAAAAGCTATTTACCTGATCCATTTTTAGGGACTTTAATGAAATCATCCTCATCGTCTCACAGCTATCACAGTTTAATTGTTGGAACTATTTCTGACTGGTTTTCAGCTTGATTTACATCTTTCTGCTTAACAAAGCTTTGAAGTGCAACAAGATGATGATGTATTGCTGTGTACAGATATCTATGTCTTTGGCACTGGCCTACATGATAAAAATTAAATTATTAAGAATATAAATTACTTAATAATGTTAGGCACATTTTACGAAGTTTTAATCTTTCACTACTAATAAGAAAGGAATTATATGGCATAAATCTAGAACATACATAAGTGCTAACAACCCTACAAACTAAGAGGTAAAAAGTCAGTTCATCTTGAACCAAATTGTATCCTAGAAGTGAATAATTATATAAGAGGTTCCAATTTTTGCATTTTATATTGAGAAAATAAAATTTTGTGATTTAAAAAATATATATATCTTCTTTCAGTTTCTTCAGGTACAAAATAGCTTTTATCATTAATGTGATTTTCCCCACCAGAGTCCTTAAATGCTTTGGAGGACAAAGATTTAGATGCCCTCATGGCTGATCTGGTAGCAGACATTAGTGAAGCTGAACAGAGGACAATCCAGGCACAGAAAGCTGCTTCTCAGAATCAACGTCCTTCAGCATCTCTCGAGGAATCATCCAATTTCAGTGGTGCAGCCTCTCTGGGTTATGAAGCAATTGTTGCTGCAACTAGTATTAGGTACTATGAAGATGATTTACCACCCCCACCAGCCAATCCCATGTTAGACCTTCCTCTTCCACCACCACCTCCTGAGCCTCTCTCTCAGGTAAGTGAGTGGCGCCACAGGTGGCAGGACCATTGACCTCTGATACCTATCATCTTTGGCTTTCTGTGAAGTCATGGCCACCTGAAACTCTGAGATACTAAAAAACAAGGATACTGGGTATGTTCATTGCAAAGTCAGAATCCTCCATAAATAAGAGCGTGCGCTGTCAAGTTGGCTCTGACTCATAGCGACCCAATAGGATAGAATAGAACTACCCCATAGGGTTTCCTAGGCTGTAATCTTAACGGGAGCAGATCACCAGGTCGTTTGTCCTGCAAAGCAACTAGTGGGTTCGAACCATCAATCTTTGTTAGCAGCTGAGCGCTTTAACTATTGTGTCACCAGGTCTTCTTAACAAGACACAGATGTATATAAAGAATATTTTAGATCCATATTCAAGAATTATTATAATTGGTTAAAAACTATATTTGTATGCAGGCATTCACTGAGAATACTCAGCATTTGGGGGAAATGTTTTATTAACTTTGTATGAATGTGGGACAGATTTTTAAGTACCTAAGAGTTTTTCTATACTGCGTATTTATTGGAGCCCTGGTGGCACAGTGGTTAAGGGCTACCGTGAGCTATGGCTACTAACCAAAAAGATTGGCAGTTCAAGTTCACCAGCAGCTCCTTGGAAACAAATATTTATTGCTTAATTATAGTCTCTTTTATAGCTTAAGAAAATGATAAGTTTGGTTAATAATAAACTAAGCTTTGGGCAGTGAGAAAAATGTTGCTGATTTACGAGGCAGGTAATTTGAGAATGTTGTTCAGATGTTGTACATGAATAGAGTCAGATTATACTCCTGATTCAACAGATTTAAATCAGAAGGCAACAGCGTGAAAAAATCATTGTCCCAAATTCTTCTGGGTAGAGCCATTTAACCTCCGTCTTTCTCATGTTATTATACTTTAAAAAAGTTACCACAGCTTCTAGCTCAGTTTTCAGGGGTTTAATACTCAAATAATTATGAAGTATCTAAACCTTTTTATAGTGAAAATAGCATCCTGGCATCTCTGATAGTTCCAACCTTCAGAATCTGGTTTAATACATTGTCCCAAGCGTCAGTAAGAAAGTAACACCTCACATAACTGTCCCAGGAATTGTGGTAAAATAAACAGATACAAACACAAAAGCAATGACATAAGCTCCAGACACTCTGGTTTAATTTGGTCAACATTTAGCAAACTGAGACTTCTGTAAGACGGAAGTGTCACCAGTGTATGGAGGTTCTATACCTGCATCGCCTGGATTCCTTCTGACAGTGACTCCTACAAAAGCTACCTCACCAAAAGGCTGACACAACACCAGTGAATTGTTTTAATTGTTTCCCCCACAGGAAGTTCAATATTTCAGTTCTCACAAAATGCCATTGGACATAATTTACAACAGTCTTGCTGTGTAAGTTAGCAAATACACCCTTTACAAAGAGTGACGTAGGAAAAGAAGGAAGAATGGGAACTCTGCTCAGCTGTGTGACTTCAGGCTAGTTGCTTAATCCCTTAGCCTCTAAAATGGGAGCAATCTACTGTTATATCTGCTCCCCAGTTTGTGCCCTACTAGACCTTGCACAAAAGAGCCCTGGTGGCACAGTTATTAAGTGCTCGGCTGCTAACTGAAAGGTTGGAAGTTCGAACCAGGGCTTCCAACTGGTTCGTTCTGGTTTGAACCCCTGCTGAGAGTTTGTGTTTCTAAGTTCCCAGGCTATGCTAATGCTGCTGGTTAGGCCCTAGGGACCAATTCTGAGGACCACTAGTAGAGCAGTGGTTCTCAAAATGTATTCTACATAAGAATCACCTGGGAATCTTGTTAAAATGTAGATTCTGATTCAGTATATCTGCGGTGGAAATGCAAATTATCATCAGGGGTTTGAACCCAAACGAACTGGTTCAAAGCCTTGGTTTGAATCCACCAGCAGCTCCATGAGAGAAAAGACATGGCAATCTGCTTCCGTAAAGATTACAGCCAAGAAAACCCTATGAGAAAGTTCTACTCTGTCACATGGGGTCACTGAGTTGAAATTGACTCAACAGTACACAACAACAACAATAACAGACCTTGTCCACTCCCTCTATTTTTGTATCCACATGTAGAACAGCATCTGGCATGCGGTAGTTACTCAGTGCTGCTGCTGCTACTGTGTGCCATCGAGTCAGTTACGACTCACAGCTACCAAGTAGGACAGAGTAGAACTGCCCCGTAGGGTTTTCTAGGCTGTAATCTTTATGGGAGCAGATTGCCAGGTCTTTTCTCCCATGGAGCCGCTGGGTAGGTTCAAACCATCAACCTTTCAGTTAGTAGCCAAGTTCTTAACCATTGCACCACCAGGGCTCCTTCCAAACCAAACCTGTTGCTGTTGAGTCAATTCCCACTCATATAGCAACCCTATTGGACAGAGTAGAACTGCCCCATAGGGTTTCCAAGCAGTGGCTAGTGCATTCAAACTGCCAACCTTTTGGTTAGCAGCCGTAGCTCTTAACCACTGCGCCACCAGGGCTCCTCCAGTACTCAAAAATATGTGTTGTGGCCTGACAGAGACTGGAGAAACCCCGAGAGTATGGCCCTTAGACACCTTTTTAACTCTGTAATGAAGTCACTCCCGAGGTTCACCCTTCAGCCAAAGATTAGACAGGCCCATAAAACAAAACAAGACTAAAAGGACACAACAGCCTAGGGACAAGGTCTAGAAGGCAGTACCAGAAGGAAAGCTGTAATAGGGAACCCAAGGTCAAGAAGGGAGAGTGTTGATATGTCATGAGGTTGTAAACCAGTGTCATAAAACAATATGTGTACTGTTTAATGAGAAACTAGTTTGTTCTGTAAACCTTCATTTAAAACATAATAAAAAATAAATATGTGTTAAATCTGGGAATGAATAGAATCTGTCTCTCGAATGGCATTTGCTGGTTTACATTGTTGGCTCCCTGAGTACTGTTAACTCTTTCAGAGTTTTGTTTTCTACATGTCTGTAAACTGAATGTTGTTGACTTTGGTAGCTGTGTTCAATAGAGCAAAGATATAGCTATGTATCACTTGTAATGTTTTATGGGGCAGGCAGGTGGTAAGTGCTTGATATTAATAAATTTCTGAATAGTAGAATACAGACCACTGGCAGTATGTATAATCATTTTTTCAGACATTAACTCATGTCTCTTATAAAAGTAAAAAGACCACTATTAAGGATTTCTCTTAGAGTAAGCCACTTAAAAATATTTTGGAATAATAATTAGCTCAATTTCCTATGGTTGTCACCTTTGTTTTACTTTGGGATGCTTAGATCAGTTTTCATAAATATGACCCTAGTGACCCTGTGTATTAGTTTCCTGTGGCTGCTATAACAAATTACCATAAATTGGGTGGCTTAAGACAACATAAATCTGTTCTCTCACATTCTGGAGGCTGGGAGTACAAAATTAAGGGCTGCACTTCCTCTGTGGGCTTTAAGGGAGAATCCATTCTTTGCATCTTTGAGTATCTGGTGGCTGCCAGCATTCCTTGGCTTATGGTGGCATCACTTTAATTTCTGCCGCTGTCTTAACACTGCCTTCTCTTCTTCTGTGTTCTCCTCTGTGTATCTCTTATAAGAACACTTGTCATTGGGTTTAGGACCCACCCACCTAGATAATCCAGGGTGATTTCCTTATCTCAAAATCCTTAACTTAATTACATTTTAAAAGACCTCTTTTCCAGGTACAGTCACAGTCATAGGTTCTAGAGGTTAGAACATGGACATAGTTTTGGGTGGTGCCATTCAGCCCACTGCACCCTGAAAGTTACTAAAATGCCTTTTGAATGAACAAATATTAAGTCATACTCAGTATTGCTCTACTGTGTATTTATTGTAGACTAAGTATTTGAAAATTGGTGATCTATATAGAAATGATTTGGATTTATGAAGATTTCAAGGGGGTCCATGAATCCCCTGAAACTATATGCAAAGTTGAATGCATATGTGAATTTTTATGAGCTTCATAGCTTTCAACATATTCCAAAGGGGTTTGTGACTCAAAAAAAAAAAAAAAAAAAAACCTTAAGAAGCACTGGTGTAAGAAAATATATATCTAGTTTCAAGTAATTAGAACTCAACTAGAACAGCTCTTTTCCTGGTCATTATAATAGATATTAAAAAAAAATAGTTGCCGTGGAGTCAGTTCTGACTCATAGTGACCCTATAGATATAAGGAGAGCCATAATAATCCTGTTGGAATATTAATGTGCAGAAATCAAAGGGCTTTGGACTCAAAATATTTCACTCTCTTTCCTGCCTGCTTGTGTGTGTTTGTCAGTGCTTTCTCCGTGAATTATCAGTTTGAGCCTAAGTCTTAACTTTTGGAGAATTAAGTGCCCCTTTACGAATCTAATAAAAACTAGGCATCCCAGAAAACACGTTGTTGTTGTTGTTTGCCGTAAAGTTGATTCCAACTGATAGTGACTCCATGTGACAGAGTAGAACTGCCTCGTATGGTTTCCTAGGCTTTATCTTTATGGGAGTAAATCTCCAGGTTGTTTCTCCAACAGAGCCACTAATGGGTTTGAACCACCAACCTTTTGCCTAGCAGCCGAGCACTTAACCAATGCACCACCAGGGCTCCTTTAGAAAACACATAATGACCCAAAAGGGTGCATATAACTTTGCGGGGGGGTGGTTCTCAAATCCCTTGAGATCCATCCATAGATTCCTTCAGTTAGACCCCAGTTTATGAACAAAGCAGAGATTTCTGTGGTCTAAATACATGAAGCACGGCTAAAGCCATCAGTTCATCTTTTCAGTTACAATTCTTAAGATATAAAGGCTGACTGCCTTCTATGTCTTTTGATTGAAGATTTCTATTATAATTCATTTCCATTCTAAAAATCGATCATGTGAAATTTGGTGCCTCTGAATACAGCCTTTTGTTAATGTAAAGTAAGGTGCTAGTGAAGGCACGGGTAATTACTCACTGGTGTTATTTAATTGACTCTGTTGAGTATTTTGCCTTTTTACAGGAAGAAGAAGCAGCCCAAGCCAAGGCTGATAAAATTAAGTTGGCACTGGAAAAACTGAAGGAGGCCAAGGTTAAGAAGGTAAACTATGAAATACTTTCGTATGGAGAGTTAAATTGATGACATTTTATTATACTTGATGATAAAAAAAAATTAAAAATTTGAGTGATGCTTTCCAAATACTTGCAATTAAAACAAATTTTAAAGGGAACGATAAATTATATAGTTATTCTTTCTGTAACACCAGTTAGTTCATTGGGGATTGATAGCTAGGGAACATACGTTAGCATAAATGTGGAAATTTCTTTGGCTTTTTTGTTGGTTGGCACATGATATTTCTAGGAGCTGAAGTAACGAGAGTAGAATTATGACCCTAAGCAAGTAAGGAAAGGGCCCTTGGCTTGGCTGCTATACAGGCAGGAAATTAGCGTCTACACCCAGGGCTCCCTTTCCTTTCATCTTATTTCAATTCCTGAAGCATGTATCATCTCTGAGACTCATTAAGAACTTTTTACTTATTGTCTTGGTCATCTGGTGCTGCCATAACAGAAATACCACAAGTGGATGGCTTTAACAAAGAGAAATTTATTCTCTCACAGTCTAGGAGGTTAGAAGTCCAAACTCAGGGTGCCAACTCCAAGGGAAGGCTTTCTCTCTCTGTCAGCTCTGGGGAAAGGTCCTTGTCATCAATCTTCCCCTGGTCGAGGAGCTTCTCAGCACAGGGACCCCAAGTCCAAAGGATGCATTATGCTCCTGGTGCTTCTGTCTTGATCCCCCTGTCTCTGCTGGCTTCTCTTTTTTATATCTCAAAAGAGATTGACTTAAGACACAACCTAATCTTGTAGACTGAGTCCTGTTCATTAACATAATTGCCTCTAATCCTGCCTCATTAACGTCATAGAGGTATGATTTACAACACATAGGAAAATCAGATCAGATGACAAAATAGTGGACAATCACACAATACTGGTAATCATGGCCTAGCTAAGTTGGCACACATTTTTGGGGGTCACAGTTCAATCCATAACACTTATAGTTGGATGATTGTGCTTTTCCTATAGGGCATTGCATTTTCTATTCCCACAGTTCCTTGAATGAAGGTGTTGAATTCATGTTGACTGATATTTAATAAATATTCTTTGACTATTTGTGGATCCAGACTTTCAAGGTTCACGGGTGCTATGAGAGTATTTCCAGATCAGTCTGTTTCCATTCATTCCAAACATGCAGGAACTTCTTTATGATCATTCTTCCCTATTCTGTATATATAATTAAGTTCAGTGGTCAGTCATTGAAACGATACATCCTCATTTCCCTTGCTGTTCTCTCCCTTTGTTGTCCTCACTTTGTTAAGCCCTGTTTAAATCTAACTACCTACTCATTGCCGGCAGCACTGAAAAAGCTGGAGCAAAAGGTACAACTCTTGTTAAGGGGCTCTTAGTACTGCCTAGGAATCACACTCTGCTTCCCTAGTCTAGTCACTCTCCCACTCACCTAGAAAATGATTAATACCTTGTTTTCTCTCTTAAAACTTCCAATACCACTTTCCTCATCCACATTCTCTCAACTAATGATTTTTCTTCCTATTTCAATGAGAAAAATTGTACAAGCTCCCACTAATACATTTACCTTCCTACCTAGCTGCACCTATGCACATATATCCCACATTTTTTCCTCTTACTGTAAGTGAACCATCTATGTTTCTGTTCTAAGACCAGCCTCTCCAGCTGTGCTCCAGTTCTTATTATCCTCCCTTCCTATTCCTCTTCTGCTCAAAAGCCTCCACTGGCTCCCCGTCTCACGGTAAAAGCCAAAATTTTGACAGTGGCCTAAAGCCCCTATAGGATCTGGCTGCTCCATTACCTCTCTGGCCTCATTTCCCACCACTCTGTCATTCCCCCTGTCTTAGTCATCTAGTGCTTCTCTAACAGAAGCACCACAAGTGGATGGTTTTCACAAAGAGGAGTTTATTTCCTTACAGTAAAGTAGGCTAAAAGTCCAAATTCAAGGTGTCAGCTCCAGGGGAAGGCTTTCTGTCTCTCGTCCTTCTCATCACTGTTCCCCCAAACTAGGAGCTTCTCGGTGCAGGGACCCCAGTCCAAAGGACGCGCTCTGCTCCCGACACTGCTTTCTTGATGGTATGAGGTCCCCCTGTCTCTCTGCTCACTTCTGTCTTTTATATCTCAAGAGATTGCCGTAGGACACAATCCAGTCTTGTAGATCCAGTCCTGCCTTACTAACACAACTGCCACCCATCCTCCCTCATTAACATCGTAGAGGCAGGTTTACAACATACAGGAAAATCACACAGTACCAGGAATCATGGCCTAGCCAAATTGATACACACATTTTTGGGGGGACATAATTCAAACATGACACCCCCTATTCTAGCCACCTGGTCTCATTGCTGCTCTTCCAACATTCCAGGCATGCCCTTGCCTCAGAATCTTTTCATTCCCCCTGCCCCAAAAGCTCTTCCCCAGATTCTAGGTAGGTTCACTCTGTTTAGCTCCTATAAGTCTTTGATCACCTTCATCACACATTGCATGTGTGTGCACATACACATGCCTGCACACACATGCACATACACATATCCTTCCCTACTTTATTTTTCTCCTCAGTACTTATCACCATGGAATCCCTGGATGGTGCAAACAGTTAACATGCTTGGCTGCTAACCAAAAGGTTGGAGGTTCAAGTCTACCCAGAGGTGCCTCGGAAGAAAAACCTGGTGATCTACTTTCACAAAAAGCAGCCATTGAAAATACTATGGAGCACAGTTCTACTCTGACACACATGGGGTCGCCACGAGTTGGAGTTGACTGGATGGCAGCTGGTTTTATCACTATCCAACATATGATCTATTTTACTTATTTATCATATTTATTGCCTGTATCCCACCCACACCCCTATAAAGCTCCTCCCGGGCAGGGAAGGAATTTTTATCTGTTCGCAGATGCATCCCCACCTCTTAGAACAGGTGCTAGGGACGTACCAAATGAACAAGTCAGGCAAGACCCCCGCTAGTGTAGTTAAATTCTGATGGGGGAGATAGTGCTGCGAGGAAAATAGAACAGAAAGAAGTGATAGAGGTTGCCTATGCAACGCTTTGACTTGGTTTGATGATCAAGAGGCCTCTTTGAGTAAGAAGCATTGAGTTACAAATGGATGGCAAATGAAGATAGGCTTACTGAGTCACTGACTTTACTTTTTGAGATAAAAAGACAAGAAAATGAGTAAATATAAAAATCATAGATAGTAAAAAAAAAAAAATCATAACTAGTTAAATTATTCCAAGCCACTGGATTGTTTAGAAAGTCAGGACCATTTTCAGAGGGAAATGAAGAGAAATTTTTTCTTAGGTGAAAAGAGCAACTAGCAGAATTCAATCTATTTGCTTCAACTGGCGATTAAGAGAACAGAGGAGGGTATAGATAGCATCTATTTCCTGCTGTGTATCAGAAAGTGGGAGAATTTAGCTATACTTTAGTTCAGGTGAATTATAACAGTAAACATGAAGCCCATAGCCTGCCGCAGTTCAACAAAAATGATGTAAAACAGAAGCTGCTCTAATCAGTGGGAAAGGAAAGAAAATTGAAAAGCTAGGTTGTGTATTTGTCTTGATTTCACACTACAAATTTATATTCTAAAACAAACTCCTCTCTGTGGCACAGAACATTAAGAAAATAACTGGGACATTCTCGTACGTTAAAAAAAAATCTTAAATGTACTCATGCATAATCTAAAACATGTTTTTAAAGGATGGAAATCAAGTTTATCCAAAGTGCTTTGCCCTTAAGTATTCTGTGGTGCATTGACATCATTTTGGATTACAAATGATATTCACAGCTTCTGGTGCAAAGCTTTTGGAACTAGAAACAGAATCAGACTCATTATTTAATTTTGTTTGTTCTGAAGTTCAGTAACACAACAGAGCAATTTAATTTGTAGATCTTATAAAAAATATTGTAAATGATACAATGCTAGAATATTCTTGTATTTAACAGCTTACAAAAGAAAAATTATAAAGTCTATAAAATCTTTAATGAATTAGAAAGGTGAATTTTGTTTCATTCTTGAATCATTTTTATACCATATCATATAGTATAGATATGAAAAGTACTGAGCTTGCTATAGCATAATTACATGTTGGCATAGAGCTACTGCGCAGCTTGCAAATGTAATAGAAACTGTGAAGAATAATAAATATGATTTATTCTCTCTAAAAATTACCAGTGTCCTCTTGGACTATTTGTTTTCTAAATGCTGTAATTGTGGACATTAATTAGAATATATGGATTAAATCTAGTTTACAATTACTGCCCCAAAAAACTCTTACATCATTGTTAAATTATGTGGTCTAGTTTTTTTCTTCCTATAAAAACAAAAGAAAATACCAGCATATCCTTTATTTTCTCAAGAATTCTTAAGCAGGAATGAAATGTGGTCAAATATCATTAATTTTCTCATCAGGAAGATTAAGTTTTCAAAGCTCTAATGTTGGTAATGTTTCTTACGACATGTAGCTAATTTATTGCAGTAACTCTGAGCAGAAAGCAGCAAGTGTGTCTTCCACAGAAGATAAATCATAGTAAAGACCACTCTTTGAGGAATTTCTACATTTTTCCATGCAACCCTCCATGCTTCACTTCTAAGATCAAATGCATGGATCTTTGATACAGTGGTTCCTGGCCTATCATTTTTAATACATCAAAAGACAAAAATAGGAAAGAAGCAACTATCTAACTACAGGTTTCTAGGTTACAGGTTTTCAAGGATGGGGAAAGGCATTGTTCAGGCAAGCCTGGGTAAGGGTCTGATTTGAATGGTCCTGGAGGGGAAGGCCCTTTTACTGCCCTGATATCTACATTTTGAGTATCAGGGTTTGCATGTGTTGGGAAGAGAGGCACTACGTAAGTGCTTTAACTCCTTTCAACTCCGTAGCCTTGTTAGTAACTCTTGGTAACAAACTACAGAAGCCACACACCAAACTGAAAAACTGTTCTCAAGGTCAGGTTAGGTAGGGGTGGTCTGGAAGGGGCATTTACTCATGTGCTTACAGCCTTGTTACTGTTGATAGTTGCTGTCAAGTTGATTCCAACTTATGGCAACCCCCTGCTCCATGGGATTGTCAAGGCTGTGACCTTTCAGAAGCATATTGCCAGGCCTGTCTTCTGAGGTGCCTCTGGGTGGGTTTGAACCACCACTCTTTGAATTAGGAGTCAAGCGCTTAACCGTTTGTACCACCCAGGGACTTCTGCTCACAAGCTAATCCACACTTTGAGGGAGGAAAAACTGTTACTGATTTTTATGGCCTCTTTCTCCCTTCCAGCCCATCTAATCACTTTTTAAAATAATGTCAGTCTTGCTTGTAAATTAGCAGGACCAACCCTAGGCAAACAGGAGAGGAGTCAGAATTTGTCTTTAGCCATCTTACAGTTCTCTTTTAAAATTCAAACAGACATTAAAGCAAGAGTATCAGATGGTTCTGGCTGATGAGCATGTTCTCAAAAATTCTCTGCTGGTTATGCAGCTAATAGTTCATGCATGTGCTTGTAGATCCCTCCCCCCACAACCACCACTGTATTCCTAGCACCTAAAACAGTGCTCTGCCTTTGGGTGGGTTTATACTGAGTTCACAGGACACAGTTCTTACTTAAATTCACAGGAACAGTAGCGACTTTGAAACCTTAGTCTTAGGGGCCTTCTCCAGTTGCAGAAGTAAACTGGCTGCTCTGTGGCTTTCTCCTCAGCTCGTGGTCAAGGTGCACATGAATGATAACAGCACAAAGTCATTGATGGTGGATGAAAGGCAGTTGGCCCGAGATGTTTTAGACAACCTTTTTGAGAAAACTCATTGTGACTACCATGTAGACTGGTGTCTTTATGAAATATACCCTGAACTACAAATTGGTAAGTCCCAGCCCCAGCAGTAAGCTGTCCTTCAGAACCTGTGGGTTTACTTTGTTATGAGCTTTGGTCTGTTATTAAGAAGAGTTTGTTCAAGGCTATCAAGACGTCCCATATATCACTTCCCTTATGCCAGTTTAAGCATGTGCCTCTTCATTTCTTTGTGGTGAAGAAACTTGGATTGTAGCAGGTGGCCAGACCTTGGGGGATGTAAACATTATTATTGGAACTTCTCTAGTGGTTCCATAAGGGAAAGAAAATGACAGGATGATACTTCTCACTGCATGTTTAGTAAGCTGAGCAGATTGTGCCAAGGCCTGGATGGCTAATGTCTCTTTAGAGTTAGCTGCCTTCAGCTATAGCACATCTCTACCACAGGCTCGTAATAGCGCTCATTTCTCCTTCCCTCATCCCCTCTCAGCTGTTCTCTGACACTTTGACTGGTTGAGGAGGTGCAGCCCCAGAGAGCAAAGAACAGTTGGTAGAAATTGGTGTAGTTAAAACAAAAAAAACCGTTAGTGGTTACCAGGGGCAGAAGGAATGAGGGGAAAAGGGAGTCATTGTTGAGGAGGTATTGAGTTTCTATTTATGGTGATGAAAATTTTGCAACAGCTATTGGCAATGGCTGCACAACATGACTGATGTAATTGATGTCACTAAATTTAACTTTGTCCTAAGTTTAACTTTGGTTCAGGTATTCATAAGCTGTTTTTAGAGCTTTAGGAGTGTTTTTAGAGCATTCGGCATGTATTGTACAATTCCATTTAAAGTTGCCTCACCAATCTTTGCCTTAATTGCCCTCCTTACAGATAGGGATGTTTGCCTATGCCTGGGACTCATTCAAGTCAAAAATGCTAATATGAAAAAAGTGTGATACCTCACCGTTGTCACTGTATTTTAGGTTCTTCCACCATGTTTTTTATGAAAATAAGTTAAAGACTTGACACTGAAAAAATAAACATAATAGGGATGTTACAATGTGACATCATGTGAGAATCAAGAATTTTAAAAAAACCTATGAAAAGTATGAAGCATTGTATTTAACTGAATGAGAGCTTGTTTTCTCAGTTGGAAACAGTGATGTGTTGGGTCTGAAAGATGCCTTTTCTTGTTTCATCAGAGAGGCTTTTTGAAGACCATGAAAATGTTGTTGAAGTCTTATCAGACTGGACAAGAGACACAGAGAATAAATTGCTATTTTTGGAGAAAGAGGAAAAATATGCTGTCTTTAAAAACCCCCAGGTAAGATACCTTGTATATTGTTAAACCATATAAAGTATGGAAGTTTTTTTTAATGTCACCTGTGTGCTAACCACATTGTTCATTATCTCACAAAATATTACAAGCATATTCCTTTCAAATAAAAACTCAACTCTTAGGCCATCTGGAAACTAAGAGCCCTCTGAGGGATCTAGAAAGAAACCATCCATTTTATTTCTTTGTATTCACCATCCAGAACATACCTGTCTGTTGTCTAATTTCCCTCTTCTGTCCTTATTTCTGTTTGGCTCCATTAACCCAATATGCCTTGATGCACTGTTGGTTGGTGATGCTTCATATTTTAAAGATGCTCTTTTTGTTGTTGTTGTTGTCCATACCTGGTACTGATTAATGCTGGAATCACCAATGGGAGCACCTAGAAAATGTACAGTGTATTGTGATTTAGGTCTGCAAACAATCTACATGTAAAAAGCCTTGCTCTTCATATTGGAAAGCGCTTGCTTCAAGTCATGTGTACAAGGATGCCCCCTGAGAACTATAGGTCTTTTCACACTGTGGCCTCAAGCCAGCTGTAATTGCATGAGCATCCTTAAGCCTCTCTAAGAAAAACACAGAGCGTTAGAGGTAGAAGAGACTCAGGATCATCCAGACGACCTTTCCCTTTTACAGGTAAGAAACCAAGTCTGATGTCACTAGAGGCAGAATTAGGAGACTCCAGAGTAGCTCCCTTGTAGGAAAATGTTCTTTCCCCCACACTGTGCTCTTTTTCTAGGATTTTCTCTAGGTTTTTTGGTGCCATACTCACAACTTTTGTTTGTGATAAATATTGAACAATAAAAGCACAGAGTTTTCAACCCATAACTACCTTCAATACCATGCTTTAAGGTCTCTATCAGTTAGGGTACCATTTAAGCTGCTGGAACAAAACCAAAAAACCAAACCAGTTGCCGTCCAATCGATTTCAGCTCACAGAGGCCCCGTGTGTGTCAGAGTAGAACTGTGCCTCCATAGGGTTTTCGATGGCTGTGATCTTTTGGAAGGAGATTGCCAGGGCTTTCTTCTGAGATGCGTCTGGGTAGATTCAAGCCACCAGCCTTTAGGTTAGTAACCATTTGCACCATCCAGAGACTCCACTGTAACAAAGAGACCCCCTAAGTCAGTGGCTAAAACAAGCTAAAGCTTATTCTGTCTCACATGCCAGTCCAGACATAAAGGGCTAGGATGTCTCTGCCATCCTCAACACATGGCTTCCGTCTCCGGGCCCAAGGCAACCTGTCCACCTGGCCATCTCCCAGTCCATGGGAAGGAGGGACAGAGCAGGAGGGTGCATATCTGGCCTTCTTACTGAAAAGACCTGGAAATGACACTTTCTTTCACACCTCACTGGCCAGAACTTAAGATTATGGTCACACTGAGCTACAAGAGAAGCTGAGAAATGCAGTCTCTACCTGAACAACAATTTGCACAGCTAAAATTGGGGTTTATATTAAGGTCACCACTTTGCAGAATGCCAGGAGACACCTTTCACATGGAATCTATAAAAATAGTACCCAGATTTGTGCAACATGGCTATACTATTGTATAACTAAGAGGAGAAAGGAGCGAATGGGTATTAGTGGACATCTGCAGTTTGCTGCAGTGTCTAATGAGCTAGTGCATAAATGCTAAGTCTGCTGTTCTGTGAATCTTTACAAAGTGAACATACCCATGTAGCTACCACCCACATCAAATAGAGTGCTCCAGAAACCTCCCTCATGCCCCTTCTTGCCATTACTCCCCATTACAAAGGCAGCCACTCTCCTGACCTCTGTTGCCTTAGATTAATCTTATCTATTTTGCATTTCATATGAAATGGAATCATATCACAGTAGTCTTTTATGTTTAGAATTTTTTTCACTTATCATTCATTCAGTTTGTTGCATATATCAGTAGTTTCTTCTTTTTCATTGCTACTTATTATTCCATTGTGTCACTATATAAGAATATGGTTATCCATTCTGTTGTTGATGGATATTTGACTTGTTCCTAGGTTGGGGCTTTAACAAGTACTGTTGTTAGGAATATTCTTGTATGTGACTTTTGTTGAACATATGTAGACATTTCTTAGGCTATGTATGTATTTAGCTTTTGCAGATATTTTTTCCAGAATGATTCCATGATTTGATTTGCCCTCCATATTAATGTTTTATGAGAATTCCTATTTCAGATCCTCACCAGCAGTTGGTGTCTTAGGCTGGGTTCTCTAGAGAAGCAAAACCAGTAAAGCGTATAAATGTATATAGAGAGATATTTATATCAAGGAAGCAGCTCACCTAGTTGTAGAGGCTAGAATGTCCCAAGTCCATCGATCAGGGTAGAGGCCTCTCCCAATTCACACAGCCACAGAAGCTGGCGAGCCCAAGATCGACAGGTCGGAGAGCAGGGCTCCCGCTCACAGGCTGTGAAAGTCGAAGAATTCCAAGATCAGCAGGCAAGACCACAAGGTTTCTCCTGATTTATGTAGCTGCAGTGGCTGGTGAACCCAAGATCAACAGGTTGGGGAGCAGGACTCTTGCTCACAGGCTGTGAAGATTGACAAATCCCAAGATCGGCAGGTAAACTGCTAGCTCAAGTCCCAAGAACAAGAGGTGAGACGACAGGAGGCAGCCACAGGATCCAGAGCGAGCAAAAAGCCAGAAGTCTGCTTATATTTGGATGCAGGCCACACCCCCAAGGAAACTCCCTCTCAACTGATTGGCTACTCACAACAGATTCAATCATGGGAGTGATCATCTATAAACATTGAGAATCATGGCCTAGACAAGTTGACACATAATCTTAATCGTCACACTTGGTGTTGCTTTTTTTTTTTTTTTTCCATTCTGTGGGTGTGTAGTACTTGTGCATGTGGTTGAACTGAGGTTTTAAGTTTAATTTACCTGATGTCAGTGATTCAAGCACCTTGTCAAATGTTTGTTGGCCATTACAATATCCACTTTTCAAGTCCTTTGCCCTGATTCTCAGCCTTTCACCTCAGACTGATAATTGACAAATGCCTTAAGGGGAAACAAAATTCAGATTGTCTGGATACCTCCTTGTGGTTCTTTTCTCTCTTGTTTCTTCAGACCTGGTATTCTGGTTGCCTTGGCAGCTCTTTAACACCTGCACACAGTTTTCTTTTTAAATTTGGCTTTGCCAGCTATTTTTTGATGCTGCAGGCTAGGCTACTCCATTATAGAGGGAAACAGAAATTATAGAGGGAAACAGAAGTCCACCCTAATGAATTCTTTTGGCTAATAATACACCAAGCAAGCAGATTCTCCTAATTGCCAATCAAATTTAAAAACCAAAACTTCAGTGGATGGTTCTGGAAGTGGCTGAATTTAAGTATTTCTGTTGTCTCAGTTTTGGGTTGAATCGTCCTTCTTTCTGATCAGTGCTTCTGCATGAATAGTGGTGTCAGCCTGTTGCCGTTAGGGTGAGAGAAGTGACTGTGACCATCTTTGTACTGATACCCAACCAAAAAATCAAACCAGTAACCTTCAAGTCAACTCCGACTCATGGCAACCCCATATGAGTCAGAGTAGATCTGTGCTCCATAGGGTTTTCAGTGGCTAATTTTGGAAGTAGATTGACAGGCCTTTCTTCCCAGGCTTCTGGGTGGAATGGAAAGGCCAACCTTTCAGTTAGCAGCTCATCTACCACCATTTGCAACACAATGGCTCCTAAAAGGGAGAATTTGGTAATTTTGGAATACCTGAAAACCCTTTGAAGAAACCTTATGGTGAGTGTTATGGATTGAATTATGTCCCCCCAAAATGTGTGTCAACTTGGCTAGGCCATGATTCCCAATTTTGTGTGATTGTCCACCATTTTGTCATCTGATATGATTTTCCTATGTGTTGTAAATCCTACCTCTATGGTGCTAATGAGGCAGAATTAGAGGCAGTTATGTTAATGAGGCAGGACTCAATCTACAAGATTAGGTTGTGTCTTAAGTCATTCTCTTTTGAGATATAAAAGAGAGAAGTGAGCAGAGAGACGGGGACCTCATACCACCAAGAAACAAGAGCCAGGAGAGTAGCACATCCTTTGGACCCAAGATCCCTGTGCTGAGAAGCTCCTCCACTGAGGAAGATTGATGACAAGGACCTTCTCCCAGAGCCAACAAAGAAAGAAAGCTTCCCCTGGAGCTGGAGCCCTGAATTTGGACTTCTAGCCTCCTAAACTGTGAGAGAATAAATTACTGTTTGTTAAAGCCATCCACTTGTGGTATTTCTGTTATAGCAGCACTAGATAACAAAGACACTGAGACACTTTCATAGTTTTTTTAAAAAAATAAAACCTATTGTTTTATGCTAAGTTTACACCAAACGAATAAAAGTCCTAGAGACTATTTCCTGAGGGAGTTTCTTATGCAAACCTAACCTGGAAATTGTTTAGTTGCCTCAGATTTTTTTTTTTTGCCTCAAGCAGTGCCTCAGGCAATTAGTTCAAAAATCCAGATACATCTTATATTTCATCTGGGCTGTTATTCTTTTTAAAATGTAATGACAGCACTTAAATGAAGTGATGATTCCCAGAAGAGGGTAGAACAGAACTGAGATCCTGCTTCTGCACACTCAACTCAGTTTTACATCTGTGAGCCTACAGGCTAGAGCTGGCCCAAATCATGGTTGTGCCTAGAAAATACTTGAAGAGTTAGTTAGAAACTGGCTTTGCATGAAAAACTAGATTAAACCAAAAATCATAAAGGGCAAAGGCTGAAATTCTAGTAATCTGTTATGATTCTTTTAATTTCATTTGGGTCTGTTGTGATATCACCCATCTCATTTCTTGTATGGGTTATCTGCTTCCTCTCCTGTTATTCTTTTGTCAGTTTGGCCAATGGTTTATCAATTTTGTTGATCTTTTCAAAGAACCAGCTTTTGGGCTTGTTAACTCTTTCAACTGTTTTTTCCATTCTCTATTTCATTTAATTCTGCCGATTCTTATTATTTCCTTCCTTCTGATGCCTGAGGGCTTCTTTTGCTGCTCTCTTT